TCCCCCTGCTTGTGTTCCCTCTCTCGCTGTCTCTCTCTGTTGAAAAATAAATAAAATCTTTAAAAAATAAAAATCAAGAGACACACACACACAGAAATTAAAATTTAAAAATCAAAATCAAAATCAAGAGACCCCAGAACAAGAACACATTGTATGCCAACAGTCCAAATAGCAACAGTAACATTCCTGCTACTTTCATTCCTTCAGGACTTTTTTTCTTTTTTAGAGTTTTTCAGAAAGATTTTATTTATGTCTTTGAAAGAGAGAGAGAGCATGAGAGGGGGAAGAGGAAGAGGGAGAGGTGGAAGCAGACTCCCTGCTCAGCCCCCCCCCCCAACACAGGGCCCTATCCCAGGACCCTGGGATCACACTCTGAGTCGAAGGCAGGCACTTAACCGACCGAGCCACCCGGGCACCCCTCTTTTTTAGAATTTAAACACAAGTCACATTATAGAAGGGAGGAGTGGAGGAACAGGTACAGCACTAGGAAGACCCATGAACAGATCCTCAGACAGGAATGCTGCCTTTGCAATTGTTACACTGTGCTTTAGAGTTTGAAAAGTGCTTTCAGGTAGATAAGCATATGAAGTTGCTGAAGCTTCAAAACAAGGCAGTGATCAGGAAAGGTTGCTTTCAGATGCAACACAGTGTCAAAGCCCAAACTCAGCTCGAGCATTGCAGGGCAGACTGGATAGAGCCGAAAACTTAGCAACGGAAAGAAAACTGTACCAAAATGGTTAGGCAGTTTAATGGAAGAGAAGAAAAAGGCCAACCCAGGGAGTTGATAGAAAGATAAACATTTTAACACTGCAAATAGATTTAGCGCCATACCTGAGAAAAGTGATATTTTAAATCAGTGGGGGGAAAAATTGGTTATTCAATACGTGTTGTCATTTCAACTGGCTCACGATTTGGAGAAGAAGTTATCTTTCTATGTGAATAAGTTATCTTATAGAAAAATACGTTTTATACATATTAAAGTTTTTAAGTTAAAGTCCTAAAAGGAGAAAAGAAAAAAGAAAAATTATATATGTCCTCTTTGGGGAAACTCATGATGTGGGAAGCCAAGTATTTGTTCACATTTTCTTTGTTTTGATATTGAAAAGCAAGGGAACTGACAGAAAGAGGGACATTCTTGTATTTTTGTCTGTCATTCTCTGCCTGCTTCTTTCTCTCATTAAAGGGTAACTATGGTTGTTTTGGGTGGTAGGAGTATGGATGATAGTTTTCCTTCATCTTTCCCTGTGTTTTTCAAGTCTTTTTTCATAATGAACATTTATGTTTGTTGTAACTAGAGGGGAACTTTTTCAAAGGTGCAAACAAAAAAAAATTATTTGTATTTAGGGATATTAGAGCTGAAGGAGCCTTGAAAGTTATTGACTCTGGGGGTGCCTGGGTGGCTCGGTCAGCTAAGTGTCTGCCTTTGGCTCAGGTCATGATCCTGGGGTCCTGGATCAAGCCCTGCGTGTTGGGCACCCTGTTCAGCGGGGAGCCTGCTTCTCCCTCTCCCTCTGCGCCCTCCCACCCCCACTCATGCTATCTCTCTCTCTCTCAAATAAATAAACAATCTTTAAAAGAAAAAAGGAAGGAAGGAAGGAAAGAAAGAGAGAAAGCTATTGACTCCGACCTGATTGTCTGATAAATGAGGAATCTGAGACCCAGAAAGTTTAAGTGACTTGGTTAATAACTACCCAGCTATCTAGTGACAGATCTGGGATGACAGGATTTACACCCGATCCCTGCAAGATTACATATCCTTCAGATCTGGCCCTACTGGCAATGTGGCTTAGTGTATAAGGACTTGCCCTGTAATGGAAGGTCTCTGCCGCGGGCCTTCTCCATCAACCAGCTACACACGGTCCTCTCTGAAAGGCAAGAGGTCTCCAGCCTCACCCCTGCCAGGCACACTGACCTCAGCTCCTCACTCCCCCACCTGAAACCCTCCACCTGCATCCATCTTTGCTTCCTCACCTCCATCCCTAAGTGCCCAGCAGCCCACGCCCCATCCTGGTGAAAGCGCCTTATTCCCCAAGTCAGTTGTGCTCTCTGAAACCTCTCTAGCTGTGCACAGGCTGTTCTCTCTCTTTGGACATGACTTACCTCCCATAACCTGGTTCCAACCTCCCACTCTGGGAAGTCTGGCCTTCCCCTCCGGGGTATTCCTGTACTCTGCTAAAACCTGCTTCTGTCTGTTCCCGTGGCTCCCTGTGCACCCCATTTATCAAAGAGCAGTTCCATTCCCACATTCCCCACATTTGCCACAGGCCTAGCCCAGTGAGGGTGCTCCCTGACTCCTGGCCTGGATGCCTCTGCTTCTGTCCCTGCACTCCCCCCTCCCCACTACCCACCCCCATCCCCTCACCTCCAGGAACAGGACAGTGTTGCTGAGGGCAGCAATCCTCTCCAGCTCATGCTTGCTCTTCTCCATCTGTGCGCTCCTATGCTCCAAGTGCGTCTTGATGCTGTTGGCCTGGCTCAGAGCGGCTTGCTCCTTCTCCTCCAAGAAGAGCATCACATCGGCCTGGGCCTTCCTCATGGCAGCAAGCAGCTCCCCAAACTGCTCCTCGGCCACCACCTTCACCTCTGACACGGACAGCTGGTGAGGGAGGGGGCAGTGAAGAAAAGGTTAGCGAGGCATGCAATGTTTTCTCCCTCTCCCTCTGCGGGAGCTCAGCACACAGGACTGCAAACCCGAGGAACCCGTAAGTTAGGAAGCAATTTTCTATCATAAAAGGAAAATTTGGGGGCGCCTGGATGGCTCAGTTAAGCATCTGCCTTCGGCTCAGGTCATGATCTCAGGGTCCTGGGACGGAGCTCCGCATCGCATGGCATTGGGTTCCCTGCTCAGCGGGGAGTCTGTTTCTCCCTCCCTGAATGCCCCTCCTCCCACCCGTGCCCTCCCTTCCCCACCCTTCTCTCTCAAATAGATAAATAAATAAATAAATATAAATAATACATAAATAAAATCTAAAAGGAAGATTTTATTCTCATATGAACCCTGGGATCTTGAAAAAACAAAAAAAAAGGGATTTACTCTCCAGGGCGAATTTACTTAGTTGCCATCACCAACGTCATCTCTCATACATTTCTGAGATCATTGGCAGCTCTGACAGTCTGGGGTTACGATTCAAGTGTCTGAAATCAGTTCTCCCACCAGGGAAATGCATGTATTCAGTACACTCGATAGCTATCTTTCTTGCGGGACATTAATAATTTGGCTTCTTTGCACAAATTGGTAGCATGAATTCGCTTTCTCGGCATTTTATTACATCAGGTTAAACTGCCCACCGAGTCCATCAGAACTGAAAGCTACCTAATCATACGGTGTCTCTGCCAGGCACAAAATGTTTTAGGGTGTGGGTAGGTGGCCATGGCCCCTGAGCATGGCAGGACCCACAAACCTGTGCAGGAGGAATGTGTTGTCCAAATAAAATAGAAAGCAAAGTCCGGGCGATAAACCCTAAGGATTTACGTGATGCAATTTTATGCATGTGCACGTGTACTTTGCCCTTTCACAGGACGAACATCCTTTTTTTTTTTCCTTTTTTTTAAAGATT